TTGCTGCTGGCTATTGTTTGGTCTTCCCTCTGTATGGTCTCTCATTTTCACTCGATAGCAGTATGCAAAAAGGTAAGAGTGGAAGTTGTAGTGCTCCTGAGCTGGGTTTGAAAGTTGTACAACATCACTGCTGCCACATTCTACTGACCAAATAAATCACAGTCCCAGCTCCCAACAGGGAATGGTGGAGGCTGTAGTGACCTGGACAGCACGTGCCCATGTGAAGGGGAGAGCAGTTCATCTCCAGTAGAAATTGATGCATATGATCCATTATTCCTAGATATTCTGAATTTTCATAAAAATCAGAGAATCAAAATTTAAGATGAAATCTCCCCATTTTAATATTTGGTACCTAATATGAAAACTTATGAAAGCAACATTATATGGTCCAACTAAATATACCTGTGAGCTAGATGTAGCCTGAGCATCTCAAACTACAAACTTTGAAGCAAATAATAAAATTGGAAGTAACAGAAATTCCCACTTTCCAAAGAAACGTAGAAAGGAATTTTAGAAATTCATATTCCCTCTTTGTCCTATGAGGCATCAGATTAGACTTACGGTTAATTTCTCTGGCATAGGAAACCCACCATGGATGCACAGTAGGAATTTAGATTTTAAAAAATCTAGTATCTTCTCTGAGACACATTTCTCTGCCCTCTTTCCAGTTTAGAACTTCAACCTGGGATTGACTATTTTTTGATGGCTGTTGTACTTCATTTTTTTTTTCTGCTAGAAATAGAAAGCTACAGACTGGGTAATTGATAAACAATAGAATTTCATTTGGCTCACAGTTTTGGAGGCCAGAAAGTTCAAGAGCATGGTGCCAGCATCGGGCAAGGGCCCCCAGGCTGCATGAGAACACGGTGGGAGAGAAAGTGAGCTAGAAACAAGGAGTAAAGACTCATTCTTACCAGGAATATGCTCTTGCAAGAACTCGCCTGCTGCCAGATGACAGCACCAATCCATTCATGAAAGCAGAGACCTGATAACCTAATCTCCTCTGAAAGGTCCCCCCTCTTCAAATTGGCACAATAGAAATTAAATATCAACGAGAGTTTTGAGGAGGACATTCAAATCTGGGAGTATGAAAAGAAGTCCACATTAGGGTGCAGCTGGACTGGGTATGTCTTCCTCCTTCAATGTGTCCCCACTCACTTTCAGAGAGTAAAAGCCACTGCTGGAGTGAGCTGGTTTGATAGAAAGTACCTACTGGTGTCAGGTGTCACATTTTTATGCAGGTTTCCTGGGGCCTCATTACTATGCATTCAAAGACCTCAGAGATGGTCATCATGAGGAGGTCCCACTACCAGCAGTTAGCAGGGCTGAGCTTGTAAGGAGCTCAGTTTGGCATTGAAGCCCATGCTTGTCCCACTCTGACTTGCTGGTTACTTCCCACACCTGTTTCATGAGCCTGGCAGCTGAATGTAAGGCTCCAAGGTCTTGAAAGGGGGATAAAGGACAGTCTGAAGGCAAAGGCTGTGTTCAGAGAGCACTGGAGCATTTCTGGCTCCCTCAGCTACAGAGCAGCTGCTGTAGAACTGTGGAATGAATTCAAATGAAGAGACGGTGGTCAACCAAGCCACTAATATTGGCTATTATTATTTTCGTTATTGGCAGTGGTAAAATTGTTCCCTGGTTCTTACTCTGGTGTCCTCAGAGAACAGTGTTAATCAGACTGCAGTCTTTGCTGTCTTTCAGGGCTTGCAATCAGATGCATCTTATTTCAGTCTCCTTAGCACTGTCCATTTGCTAAAATGTGAGCCCCATGAACGTAACCTGGAAACCTTCCCTGGGAGCCCCTAGGGAACCTGGTCTGCATGTTCACTGGTGCCCCCTCAGCCCTGGCCCTGCTCAGTGTGTGCTTGTTTAATGCCATACTGGTCTTTTAGAAGAAATTTGCTCAGTCACTACCTCTTCTGTGGGAGAAAGATTTTGGAGTGCAGAACTCTGTAACCTTGCAATTGACCTTCATGGGAGTCCTCACACTGTTCTCAAGAGGATGTCAGAGGCACACATTTCTGTCTCCATCTCACACATACAGCATATTGGCTCTAAAAACTCCACATGCAGAAGAAGGAGGAGTCATTTTCAACCAGAAGAACACTGACGACTTCACAATTTTCATTGTTCAATTAATGAACACTGATATCTAAAAGAAAGCAGGAAAGGGACCAGGTAGAGGAAGCAGAGATTGTGAAGCAAAGAAAGGATGTGGGTATCATTCCAGCACTTCACAGAAGGAAAACTCAGGGAAACAGAATTTCTAGATTGCACAATCCTCATTCTGAATACGAACTCTCAGGCCTCTCCATCATTTATATAACACTTTAGTTACAAACACTGCCAAACATGTGTGTTTGTGAGTGCTCAGCTGGAGAAGCCTGCTGTAGCTGACCACATCTCTTTCCAGAACCAAAACCCATGTGATTTGCATTCCCGAAAGGACTTGGCTATGTTCTTACGATAAACACATTGTAGGATTCTGGGCCCTGGGATAGGGAGATTTGACAGTCCTGCTGTTGAAGGAAATTAAATTTCCCCCAAATTGGCTGGTTTGAGATGCTCTGTTTGGATATTCTCTAGAAAGATGGGCAGGCTTTTTCTTAAAGACGGTAAATATTTTAAGTTTTGTGGGGTATACAGTCAAGAAGGTACATAAGTGAGTAATGTGGCTGTGTTCCAAAACAAACTTACAAAAACAGGACACCAGACTTAATTTGCCAAACCATATGCTAAGCGAGAGGCTAGGGTGCCAGTTCTCTCTGCAATATCTGGATATTCTGAATGGATATCCACCACTTAGTATTTACTTTTTATGTCCCAGTGAGTGTGCTCTGACTGCAATACTTTGATATGAATTTTTAAAGTGGAGAGTATGAGTACTTTTGATTCCATCCAATTTATGTGAATAATCCAAGTGAAATATACATTAGATGATGTTGTATTTCCTAGAGTCAAGCAGAGTTATGATGACACTCATTTAATGCACTTGTCTAGAATACAGTGAAGAATTACTATTGCTTGGGAATAGGGAAAGGTAGGTAAGGCCATTTTTTTTTTGTTTGAACTTTAAAACTTTAAAATAATTATTGCAATAAATTCTTCATTATTCAATATTTGATTACTTCTTAACTTAAAAATCATAAATGGTAGGAAGGAGAAATTAAAAAAACCTATGAAACTTAGTCATGTATATGATTTAGTAGTGGAGATTGAACCCAGCCCAGGGGAGCTCTATCACTAAGTCTTTTTTTTTTTTTTTTTTTTTTTGAGAGAGAGTCTTGCTAAATTATCTAGGCTGGCCTCAATCTTGCAATTCTCCCACCTCAACCTCTCAAGTTGCTGAGATTATTGGTGTATGCCCCCATGTCCAGCTAGGCCACACAATTTTTTATCCCTTTAATGAATCTTTCCAAATTTCAAGTGAAGGCCAGGAATATCTCAAATACAAATTTTAAATTGCCATTAGTAATCGCCTTATATACTTGTCCATCTTTAAAAGTAAACAAATCCATTGATTATTTTTCCTACATTTATTTTATGGATAGATGCTGATGAATTCCTTCTTTGGCAAATTTTTAGATTCAAGAACTTTTTAAAGGCCTGGGTAAACTTATTTTAGATCTCAAAACTGCCAGAGTAATTGACCTGAGAATCTTCTAAGGACATGAAAATATATTCCTAGACACACTCAAAATCCTTTAGTTTTTACTCATTTTATACAAGAGAGGCAGAGAGGGATGCGGCCTACAAGTGATGTATAAGATCAGGAAAGCTAAAAAGAATGGTGACCTGCGTTAAAAAGAAAAAATCTGGGCAATCACTTATGAGTTAAACATGAGATTTGGGGCTGGGGTTGTGGCTCAGTGGTGGAGTGCTTGCCTCGCACACATGGGGCCCTGGGTTCGATTCTCAGCACCACATAAAAAAATAAATAAAAATAAAAGATATTGTATCCATCTATAATCAAAAAAAAATAAAAAAAATTAAAAAAACATGAGATTTATTTCAGAGGCTTGCCATAGACTGAACATTTGTATTCTCCTCCCTCAAATTTGGTAATTGAAGCACTAATTCCAAGGTGTTGATGCTCGGGGATGGGACGGTTAGGAGCCAATTACTCAGATGAGGCCCTAAGGGTGGGGCCCTGATGATGGATCAGTGTCCTTACAAGAAGCGGCACTGAAGAGCTTGTTGTACTCCCTTGCTCAAAGAAGGGTTCACACAGTGACATATCTACCTTCCACAGCCAGGAAAAGAGTCTTGCTAGAAAGTGACCATTTTGGAACCCTGATCTCAGACTTCCTTCCTCTAGAAGTAGGAAAAAAATTAGTTTCTGTCATTGAAGTCACTCAGCCTGTGGCATCTCATTATGGCAGCCTGAGCTAATGCCAGGCCTAATTTTATTGTGTTTTTTTTTTTAAGGAAACTTTTTCTTGTTTTCTAAAATCATTTTTACATAATAAGGAGGTGCTCCGAATAGTGGTAGAAGTTGAAGTATTAATAAGGGGTATAGATTCTTTATTTTATGTATATATACACACACACACACACACATAAAATCTATTCTCCCCAGTCTCACATTTGCAAAATGTCCTCCCAGCTTGCTATTGTTGTCTAAAAGACTAATTCATTATATCATGTACCAAGTTCTTATGTAAGAAACAAACTGTCCATTTTTTGAGTAGCTACAAAGGTGCTTTGAAAATAAATATTTTGTTTTTACAATATGCTTCTCAGTTATCTAATGATCAGCTCTCCACACCCTTTGGTAATACACTATGGCCCAGAATTAAGAACAATCCACTGGAGGGTGAGTCGTAACTGGACCTTGATTGAGAATGATTGTCTGCCTTAGACTTGCCATGTGAAGGTTCCCTCCAATGATTATGCTTGGCCCATCTGAACAGCTTCAATGGGCATTACCCCTTCCCACCTTTCATTTCTTATAAAAACAGATGTTTTTCCTTCTCAAAAGCAGAAAAAAAAATCAGAGATTAGCAGAGTGTCAGGTATGGCATTTATAGGCATTTCAAAAGAGTACAGTCAATTTGAAATGTTGAACAGAATCATCATAGCTTTTCAAGGCTTTAAATTATTTACACTTTAAAGTTTTTATCAGACATTGCAATGTTAAATTATCTGAACTTCTAGCAATTAGTTATGGTGTCAGAGAATGACAGGTAATTAGTTCATACAGTACATCTCATGCCCACATTCCATGTATTCTTGGTAGAATGTTGCACTATGTAAACGGCTACTGCAAAAGAGGCAATTATTGCACTGAATTTTCCATATGATCCCTCCATGGAAATCTTGTTGCCTCTTCCCAGATCTGCATCTTGGCTTTGAGTAGATGCACAGAAACCAGCAGTGATTTCTTGCCCAAGATGCAGTAATTTTCTTCATCTCATAGGTTTCTCCTTTACCTCATTTTTTTTTTCAATCCACAAACATTGACTAACATCTTCTATAAGCCAGGCACTGTCCAGACTCTGGGAACACACTATGATCAACATACAGTGAAGTCCCTGCCCTGTGGAGCTTCCAATCTAGTAGGTGAAGATAAACACATGAATACGTAATGTTACAACGTTCAAAATAGCTTAAATCTATACCATCTGAAAGCTATTTATTATATATTGTTATTTTTGGGTATTGGATGAAGTGAAGAGAGGCCAAGAATAGAATGTAGTTCCACCATGTATATATTGGGTGGGTTTAAGCCAGTCCTTCATTCAGTCTGAACCTCAGTTTCCTCATCTAGAAAATAGGGAGCATTTGAATTAAATGGCTTATTAAGGAAAACGGACCTTTCAGAGCCCTTCCATTTTCTATGGTTTTATGAGAACATCTTGTACAAAATCAAGAGCCAGTTTGTTGACTGTTCTAAAGTTTAAAAAATATTTAAGATTAAATACAAGAAATTCTTAGGTATTCTACATACACTCAATACTTCGAATGCCAATCTAACTTCTTCCAGCAATATAAGATGTCTTATTTACAATGGCTATAGAATGAAGTCCTTTTACCATCTTTTGCTATGAAAAATAAGTTATTTATTCATAAAAACATTTAATTCCATTGTTGGTCACAAAATCCCACCTTACTTGGGAAATGATCTCTAGCTGTGAAATCCTATCTTGGGTGTGACCCTCTCTCTCTCCTACTAAGCTATATCACTGACTTTGTGGTCCTAGTGTAATATTTTTGACTGGAATATTAGCTCACGAAAACAGGAATTGGGTGCTTAGTTTGAAGAGCAACCCAAAGGAGGTTCTGTCCTGGCAACCCACTGATGTATGTAACGGCCGCACCTATACCATGTTCCATGGCCACAGGCCTCTTGGGAACCTACCTTAGCTCTTGGGGCTGTCAGAGTAGTTCTGCCTAGAAAAATTAGAGCTTTGGTCTACCAAAGGGTACAATGCCATCTGAAAGGGGACATGGGTTTCCAGAACAATTCACAGACTAGGACAATGTGAATTAGAAAGTATCATAACTTTTTCAGAAGACCTGGTGGAATGTTAATGTACATTTAATAATGCAAGCAACGAAGCACATATTTTATCATCAATTATTTTTTTTTTCTTAAGGAAGATAGCATACTGGGAGAGTTTAATGTCAAATAAGGTTAGCTTCCTACTTATTAACTTGGTAGGAGTTATGAAGCCTGTGATTCTCTTGAAAGACAAATTGCATTCACTGGTTTAATTATGAAACAGAGAAATTCAAATTTCAATCAATCCAGTGGCTAAAGATGACAGGAAATTTTTTTACAGGACTTTAAGGGGATCTTCTTTTCTTATCTGGATCCGATTCCCGCTGACATCTTGGAGGTTCTGAAGGCTGTGTGCTCTTTTATCTGGTTGCTGTGTAATCGAATATCCTACACGTTTTCAAATTTGATCAGGTGGGTTCTATCACAAGGACACATCTTTGCGGTGTCTTTGGGAGCCAAGTTAAATCTCTCCTCCAATATTGGAATTTAATTCCTTCCTGTTGTTCTGCGATGTCGAGATATATTGTCAATGCTATCAATGACACAGGCTGCTATGTAGACTGAAGTCTGTTCTGTCCCTACAGTGACCGAAAAGGAATAATGACTGTATCCTGGGTTGGATGCTACTACTTCAGGACCAGATGGGCAAGGGTATCCCATATAACCTCGAAGAATTTTGAAACAGCTCCCTAATACCTTCTAGCAATAAACGATATCTCAAACAGTGCTGTATAGACTACAAGATGAGGGTAGGTCCCACAGATACTGGATATATACAAAGGAAGATCAGAGAGAAAAGGGCAAATATATGGCAAACTTCATCACAGTTACAGTTACGGTTACAGGTAAATTCTTGTTAGCAAAGGAAATGGATTGGGGTATACATCATGGAATTCCCGTATGTGTTTTAAGTTGTCGAGTGCATGCGAGTAGCCTCAGCTCATGAGGATGGACAGGAGGACCGACAAAGCCTTGCTGATGTTCAGTGTCCTTACATCAGTTCGATCGTGGCCCCTCACGGCCATTCCAAAGGGTCCACGTGTTGCACACAAAAGTGCATCAGGCCTGGGTGTGGCTGTGAGGTCCCCATGAAGTCACTGTATGCAGTGTGGTTTTCAGGGTGGAAGTCCTTGGCTGCAAATGAGTACATCTCTTAAGTCCACACCTCCATGGGCACTATGGCTTCTTTGGTTCCAACAGACGGCAGTAGGCTCTCTTCAGACAAGAAATAGAAGGGGAACTGCACCAAGAACCCACGGATCTTCTTCAGTTCTTCCTCAGCTCGAATGGGATCTTCCTTTGCTAATATGGGCTTGGTTATAAAGTCTCTCAGCTGAATTAAATTGTGTACTTCATCATTGGGAAGGCACCGGAACACCTGAATAAAACACAGATTGGAAACGTAATATAGTTTTCAAAGAAAGATACACATTCCAACAGGCAAATTCTTTGTTTTATAAAACACGTTTCTTTTTTTTTGTACTGGGGCTTGAATTCAGGGGTACTCTACCATTGAGCTATATCTCCAGCCCTTTCTTATTTATTTTTTAGAGACAGGGTCTCATTGCATTGCTTAGGGCCTTGCTAAATTGCTGAACTTAATGGCTTTGAACTCATAATCCGTCTGCTTCAGCCTCCCGAGCTGCGGGGATTGCAGGTGTGTACCACGGCGCCCTGCTGAAACACAAACGTTTTATGTCAAAGCACAGACTTAAGATTTGCTCTTTGCCACAGAGCAACTGCTACACTTGCTCCAATTAAGAAAGCCATAGCTAGATCCTTATCACTCATCTATACTGGTCGTTAATCACACGATAAAGTCAAGCTAGTGGTGAGGAACTGCACTGATGTCACCCCATGTGGAGGTTGATTTTTTGGATAATAATCATCCCTGAATTTCACTGGCGGATCTGGCCTAAGAGGAAAGTTGCATTATTATATTTTCTCTAGCTTTACATTTTGAAAGATGTCCTTACCTTTACTTAATGTTATCAGTTGCTAACATGTAACACTTTGCTGACTAAAAATGAGTTTCAGACATCATAACCTCTTATTCCTGTATATTTCTTAAGCATAAGGTCATATGCCTGTGTAACCACAGTACCATTCTCACACCAAAGAAAATGAATTCCATAATGTCATTTAAGATAGGTCCATATTCAGATTTATCATAGTGTCCCCAAAAGGTCTTTCATCACTGTTTTCTCCCCAATCCAGGGGCCAAAAAAGACTGTGCCTTCCATTTGTAAAATCATATTTTAAAAGACTCCCTTGAGTCCTCAGTATAAAATAAGGATATAGATATTCATCACATTTCATGGAGAGAGATGATGTTTCCACACTGGAAGGAACTCTGAAGGTCATGAAGGAGAATATACTATACTCCTTCCCAGCTTCTCATAGATGGCTGAGGAATTTCAGCTTGAATATTTTCCATGATTGGAAGCTGGCTACTTCACAGGTAATCTGTTCCATTATCAGACAATGCTTGATTTTTTTTGTAAAATCTTTACCATAACTGATGGATAAAATTTGCCAGGAGATGCATTTGCTATGCATCCAATGGAGCTGGGTAGAAAACACTTTTCTGAAAATTAGAACAGTCCAACAAAAGAAATCTCTTAAGTCCACACCTCCATGGGCACTATGGCTTCTTCTTCTTAAACCACAATTTAATTATTAAAAATAAAGCAAAACACAACAACACTTCATCATCAGGATGGCTACTATTTATTATGTGTAGTGTGCTAAATACATTTAAGAGAAAATTTTTTATCCACATAACTATTCTGATGAATATCCCTCCCAATTTATAGGAAGGAAAGGAAGGCCAAGAAAGCTATGTCACTCTACAGAAGTTATATCCCCAGCCCCTGGGTGAGCTGGGTTGAACCCACATCTGACTCATTTGGGGATCCCATTTGCCCCTCTTCTCTTCACGCTCAAGGGCTGGGTAACCATGCACCAAGGATGCTCATAATGAGATTCCTGCATCAAATGAGAGGACAGGATGACACTGAAGTCGCTTCTGAACTATCATCCCTGATGCTTTTTGATCTTTGCTTTTAAACGTTCACAAAGAAGTATTTTTATAACCTGGAGGTATGTGGTTCTTTTAAAACTCATTAAGAATATTCCGTATCAATAAAATGCAGAAATAATGATGCTCTTTCTGTGATGAGAGTCAGTGGAAAAAAGGGCAGGGAGAGACTCAGGTCAAGTTTACCTTATCATAAATTGTAGCATTTCGAGCTGCCGTTGAAACCCACACCTCCTTGAAGAACTTGTCACTCACTGGATCCTGAATATCCTCGCTTGGGTCAGAAAGATAGCCAAGGACAACCCTGAAATACAAGTGCCTCCAAATTAAGTTAACTAGAATGAAGAAGTTTGTTGCCTGCATGGTAACAGATCCTCAATCGTAGGAGTCAAATTGTCTTGTGTATATTTTTGGAAATCAAAGGAAGCCATTAAAATTAAATACATATTCTGTTTATATTTACTTATCTCTTTGTCTCCTTAGTGGCAAAACAAAACAAACATAATAAAACAAAAACCTAAGTTTCTCTGATGCTTAAATGTTTGAACTGTTGAGATAGAAAGACCTCAATTTTGTTTTAAAAGCATCCTTGTCATTTGGCTTCTGGTGGCCAGAACTTTGGAAGATAGGAGTAGTGCTTAAACATGTGCCAGAAAATGTGCTAAGCCCTTTCTAAGGACTATCTCACTAAATCCTTAAGAACTCTCTGCAAAACAACTTTTATTATCTTCATTTTCGAGATAAATTCACAGAGATTAAAAAACTTGTTTCAAATCAAACAACTGTTAAGTGATAAAGCTAGGATTTCAACCAGGGCCACAGATCCCAAACCTGTGCTCTTAACCTTGACATGTCTACCTCCCTTCCCTAGCTCACCCTTTCTTTCTTCCTTCCTCCCTTCCCTTCCTTCAGGCCCAGGACTATGCTTAACTCTTGGGTACATAAATGAATAAGAAAAACAGAAAGTCCTTTTGGGTAGTTAAATTTGGTGGTTAAGACAAAAACTGAAGAAATAATCATCCCAAAAGGAATTAATTATAATCATCATAGATAAAGGGTATCTTTTTTAAAAAATATATATTTTTTAGCTGTTGATGGACCTTTATTTATTTACATGCAATGCTAAGGATCAAACCCATTACCTCACACATGCTAGGCAAGTACTCTACCACTGAGCCACAACCCCAGTCCACAGGTATCTTGAAGCCCATGAGATGGGTGTGGTCAGGAAGATTTGTCCTTCTCCCACCTGTTTACCTAACTCTATCTACCGTGGTTTAAGATTCAGTACAAGGTCAACTCTATACAACTTTTGAAAGCTCCTGGGTTTCCTATCTCCTAGTTAACCCTGGGAAAATTCAACATTATTCCATGATTCCACACTGTACTTCACATATGCTTTGTATTTTTCAAAGCACCTGACATATTTTATGTACTGTCACATTTCTGGAATGCCAATTCTTTGAGAGACCATGACCTGGCTACTGTCATTTCCTCAGAGTACCTGGTATAAAATAAGTCACACACTAGATATTGTCTGAATTGATTGTGAACAGGAGACTAGAAATAGCAAGGAATCATTAAGCAAAGCAAGACTGGTTTCAGAGGTCAGATTTGAAAATTATAATAACTCTTGTTCATACAGAAGACAGTTGGATTCCAAAGCACTTCTGCCTTTATCCTGTGAGGGAGATGGGCAAGGGGATTTCCATTTTGTAGAATGGAAACTAAAATTTGTGGATATACTAGTAATTGAGCTAAAATGCAAACTGAGTTCAAAGCCCTGTTGGTTCAAAGAATACCAAGAAGGCCTGTGGTGACCAGAAAGAGCAATGGGAAAATAGGCCGTAAGTGAAATGAAGACCCACTGTAGACCTCAGACAGAGAGGTAATGGGGTCAGACTCACATACTAAAATACAGCTGCTGGACTAAGAATAGACTGAAGAACAGGTGGACCAGGGTTGAAAACAGAGAGACCTGTTAGCAGCCACTACAGGAAGCTGGGTGAGGTATGACTGTGGCTCTGGCCCGGATGGTAGTGGAATGAAGAAAGAGCCAACAAGTTTTGTTGACAGCAGCTGGAGGGTGTGAGGCATCAAGAATGATTGAAAGGTTTCAGTCTCAAGCAACTAGAAAGGTATAGCTGCCATTAGCTAATATGGCGAATTCTGCGGGGGTGTATAGTTGCTGAAAGAAGACCGGGAATTCCATTCTGGACCTATTAAGGCATTTTTTAAAAACATCCAGGTGATTCGGCTCTGTAGGCAGCTGGAAAAATGAATCTGGAGTTTGGGAGAGAAGGCTTGGTCAGAGATTTGGATCTGAGAATTGCCCTGATTTATATGCTCATCACACCATATGTTTTTTGATAGAGCTCTCTAGAGTAGTATAAACAGAGAAGAGGAGCTGGAGTACCCCAATAGGAGGGGAGGGAATCAACCTGCAATCCAGAATGATTGCAAGGCTGGGAAAAGCCAGAGGATGTGGTGTCCTATAACCACTCAGAAAAGAAGGCCAAGAAGAACTGAGTTTAATTCACACAAAAAATTGACCACTGGGTTAGATAATGCAGACATTGTGAGACTGTTATCCTTTTTGTATTTAAATAATGCAGATTTATATCATCATTTTTAATGGCTCTTGTTTCCCAGAATGTGAAATTTATGTAACCAATTATTTTATTACAGACATTTGCATGGTTTCCACTATTTTATTATTATGAACAATGCTACAATGAACATAATTTATTCATGACATATAGTACTTTGTGAATTTTTATGACTATTTCATTAGGAGTAATACTAGAATTAAAATTCCTGGGTCAAAGAATATGCAAAATTATTCCAAAAAAGGCTGTACCAAACTACATCATCTTCACATGTATTTCTCTCCAGTCACTTCCAACATCACTGGCTTACAAAAAAACTCTAGTCAATTTTATAGGGATAAATTAAGGCAACCCATAGGGGCTGGGGTTGTGGCTCAGTGTGTGAGGTACTGGGTTTGATTCTCATGCACCACATATAAAAATAAATAAAATAAATAAAGATCCATTGGCAACTTAAAAAAAAGTTTAAAAAAAGGCAACCATTTTAGTTTTAGTCTGTGCCTTTTTTGCTATATAAAAATTCTTTAAAATAAAAGGAGTTATCATCATGGGCTCACTAGTATTCTTGAGTTATATAACCCCCAAAACCCCATTTCCACTTCAAATAATGCCTCCTTCATGGAAATAACTTTAAAAGAAAGATTTAAGAAATGATTCTTACTCATACATGCTGGCTCCTAATTGAGACCCAAAGCAAAATTTCATTGCACCAAATCTAAAGGACAGTACAGGTTGTGACAATAGCCAATTACAATACCTTTGATTTGGGACAGGTCTAAGGAGCTGAAAACTGAGCAGGGAGTATTTCTGTGATGTTGCTTTTAAATTAGAACAAGAGGGGAGACAATAAGTCTACCAGGTTTTCTTACCAGGTTAAGAACTATTACCAGGTAAGAACCGCCTTACCAGGTTAAGAACTTGTTTGCAGAAAAACTATTTAAAATAAGCCTGTAACAGTCACTGTTTAGCAAAAAATTACTTTTCCCTGTTGGCATTTTAATTACAAGAAGATTATGTTAAAATGCACCATAAAAATAATACCAAGTCAAGTATTCCTGGAATTCTTTTGAGGATTGAAGTTTCTAGAGAAAACGACTTTGATTTTATGTTAATATGTATAATGGCCTTATTTAATTTTAATTGCTTATGCATCACAAGAAATAACAAGGTGGAGAAACTGCGAGTTATCTGTGTTCCTCCCTTTCCTCATGTCTATCACTTTAAATGATTCTGAGCTATACTTGTGTGGATAATAGTTTCTGTTGAATGATGGTTTTATCTGTAAAGTTTGGATAATTTTCTAGGACATAATGAACTGTTCGGCTCACAGTTGTGACATTCAGTGCAGTACCCTGATGGTTGATTCTGTCTCTATTTAGAATTGATTTCACATTGAAATGTGTCTCTCGATTTCTATTCAAAAACAGCCCAGATGGAAAATGGATTGAAGCTGCGTTTTTTCAAGTGAGAAAATGGCTGTGCTCTAGGCCACAATATTTATCTTTGGGAACATTTCCTAATAAAGACAGGCTAAAATTGACACAAGGTTGCTGTGGTGCTTTTTAATATAGTATCTGTGTTTGTCATTGGGAAAGTGGAAATAATTGTACAAGAACAACTGCCTCTTTAAGACAGTGTGAAAACTGCCAAGAAAAATAAAGCGCCTAGAAATAATAAAGGATCCAAATAAAAGGAAAAAAATTGAGTGATTTACCAAAGAACAACTTCCACATAACGAAAAACCTAAAGCTTTACTGAAGAACAAAACAAATAAACAAAAATCGGAATAAATTGAAGTCCATAACTTGTTCTTCAATTGGATGACTCAATATTATAAAGATGTCAACTCTTTTTATATTGATCTATAAATCTGCTATAATCCCAATTTTTAAAAAATACTACTAAGGACTTGAAAGGACTCGAGTAAATGTTTCTGAAGTTCATGTGGGAGAATGGTATTGAAGAATAGCCAAGGGGCTGGGGTTGTGGCTCAGCGGCAGAGCGCTCACCTAGTGCTCACCCAGGCACTGGGTTCGATTCTTAGTACCGAATAAATATAAATAAATAAAATAAAGGCATTGTGTCCAACTACAACTGAAAAAAAAAAAAAAAAAAAGAATAGCCAAGAGCTGGGGGTGTAGCTCCATGGTAGAGCACATGGTAGGGCATGTGTGAAGCCCCTGGGTTTGATCCCCAGCACTGCAAATAGAAGAAGGGAGAAAGGGAGGGAGAGAAGGAGAAAGAAAATAGCTAAAATCATTCTGGAAAAGAATCCTAGTAGGAGAAAGTGGTATGGAAAGAAAGAGGATTCAAATGCATGGACACAATAATGAAAATGGTGTCACACTGGCATGCATATAAACAGCTTCTCAACATAACCAAAGATAAAGTGAATGTAAGTCAGAATATATGGCACAGGTCATTCTTGAAAGGTTAAAGGGTGCTGGGAGCCATTAGCCAAGTAGGTATGACAATTTCCTTGCCAGCGTACCCCATGTTGCTGACATTTGCAGTGACATTGAATGTAGGTGACCTTGCTCAAGGACCAAGGCGGATTAGGGTGTTCCTGGTTTAAGATAATTGGGTTTAGGGCGTTCCAGGTTTAAGATTATTCCTGCTGGGAATAGGGCGTATCCTGCTGCCTGAGTTCCCCTTGAGTTCTCACGGGATTCAGACAGTATATTTTGGAGATAGAAGCCCAGTGGATGGGGATTTGGGCAGAGAACGTGGATTTCCCCAGAACGTGATTGTAGACGGCTGGTGTGAGTTCGGGAATAAAGAGTTGCTGTTTGAATCTACAAGCTGTGTGGTGGCTCGTGATTGTGTGCCCAGCCAGACTGCGGCATTTGTGCCCAGCCAGACTGTGGCAAAAGGGTACTATTACACATGACACAGTTCTTGATCAGTTGGTTAGTTTGGAGGGAAAAAAGCTAAAGCCCTGAATCATTTTTTTAAAGATATTTTAGTTGTAGATGGACACAATATCTTTATTTTTATGTGGTGCTGAAGATCGAACCCAGGGCCTTGCATGTGCTGGGCAAGCGGTCTACCGCTGAGCCACAACCTCAGCCCAATATGCATTTTTTAAAATATTATAATAAACTACATGTTAAATGTTAAAGGTAAAAGTCAAATACTAGAAAAACATATAAGTAAATGTTTGGTGTTGGGCTGGGGAAACAAGTCTAAGCATAGAGAAAAAGGGGGAAAATTAGAAATACCTGATAGATTTGGTTAATAAGATTTTAGAAATTTCCCCAATATTGTGTTAAATAGGATTCAAAGGCAATTGATCAATCATATTTTCAAGATATGTGACAAAGGAATTAGCATCCTATATATTTAAAGTTCTTATAAGTCATTAAAAGAAACTTGAATATAGTGGAAAGGACATGAATAGGCTAGGCAATTCACAAAGAACAATTACCATGACTAAAACACATTATTAAAAAAATCCTAAAAAATGCAAATTAAAAGAATAAAATTCCATTTGAAATCCAACAAATTGGCAAAGATTAACTGAAATAATAGGATGCAGTAAAAATAGAATAAGCCTTTTAAAACACTGCTCATGAAATAAAAAGAAATTACAGGGCAAAGGAAGCTTCCATAGTCTAAAGAAGGTGAACACTGCAGTATCTGAAAGCATCTCCACATTTTTATATCAGCAAACAATCAGTGCATATGAATATAGAAACATCACATGGTACCCCCTAAATATGTATAATATTATGTGTCAATTAAAAAATAAATTTAAAACCTTGTTAGCCCTGGGCAGTGGCATTAAAAGCAAATTTAATTTTCTTTTTTTTTAATAATATTTATTTTTCAGTTTTCGGTGGACACAGCATCTTTATTTATTTGTATGTGGTGCTGAGGATCGAACCCAGCACCGCACACATGCCAGGCTAGCGCATTACCACTTGAGCCACATCCCCAGCCCACAAATTCAATTTTCTTATTGGTTTTCTGCATTTGCCAAATTTCTACAATAAAAATGTGTTGTAGATCAGAATTCCTTATAAATTTTATAATATAGAATCAGTATATATTATAAAAATTTTAAAGAATCCTAGCACTTTATAACTTAAGTTTTCATGGGACTGAAAAAAAAATAGGATGTACATTTTCAGCTTAAAAAAGGCAATATTTGTTTCCTTATCCATTTTGCAGTAGGCAAAAATCAGTGGGCTGATTAGCAGGGTATTAATTTTAAATTCTCTCCTGCTAAACAAAACAAATGAAGATTAGCATTTCATTGAAATGTCAATGGTTTGGAAAAAAATCGTATCTGTAAAACCATTCCTCACAAAGGCAATAAATACAGCAATAAAATTTGTTAAAAGGTATTGACAGTCAGATTTTCAGGTATGGTTTTACTGAGCTTCTGGAGTGTCTCTGGAATCCACATGCTTAAATCTGCTTGCTGCCAGTAGGCCCTGGCATACTCCTTTAGCAATTTTTACTGGATCTTCATATTACTGAACTATTTTCATTTTTTAAAATGAACTGACTTTTTAACAACTTACACAGGCACAAGATGGTTTGACCTGGCCTGGCCCTAAATCAATGACATATTAAAATGCTAGTATGTTCTGTTACATTTATTACTCTGAGAAAACAGAGTCTAGACTGGGAGGAATTAGGGAAATGGCCATCTCATTTGCAAGGAGTGACATCCTCATTATGGCCTCTCTGCAAGTGAGTTTCCAAGATGTATCATTAACATGAGAAGGATTAAAACATGGAGCTGCAGCGCAATGCCCTTCCCCATAAAGCACAACCCCTAACTATGTCAGGGACACTTCCTGCATCTCACTGTAGACGCCCTATTGAAATGGCAACATGACAAGGATAGTTCTATAAACATACATCTGTGGACGCCCTGTAGAGGCCTGGAGTGGGAGAGGGTCAAAGTGCCCCACAGACAGCAGGGAGAGGGGTGTGTTTGCAAGGGTCTCATTTGCTCTTTGGTTGTGAGATGAGAAACCACTGGACAGTAGTGAGCAGAGGAGTGACTCGATCTAGAAGGTGCTGTGGAGAATAGATCACCAGAGCTGATGGCAGTTAGAACCCAGCCCTCCAGATTTCTCAACAGGGTCACACAGCCCTTGCTTCCTAGCCCAGGGTTCTCTCCGCTTGACCACAGATTTCTTTGAAACTCACATCTTCTTGTCAAAGACCAGGCAGCTTCCATATCTGAAGTCATTATAAACCTGAGAATTGCTGTTTCCACATTTAAATCTGACACCAGTGATCACTGGCATACTCCTTTAGTAGTTTTTTCCTATACCCTTGCATGACTGAGCTATTTTGATTTTTTAAAAATGAACTGACTTTTAAAAACTTAAATAGGCACAAGATGATTTGGAATGGCCTTTCCCCAAATCAATTCATATATTTAAAATGCTAATATGTTCTATGAAATATACAAATAATAAATACCATTGAAGTCAGAAACATCCGTGGACTGTGTCAAGTTGTTTTGCCTACTGGTGTACGCGTCCTGTATTCTGGGAGGCACTGTTTTAAACAAAGGAGAACCAGGCATGACCTATGTGCTATGGTCAAGGGGTCAGCCTGGGCCCAGTGCCTGTGGCTGAGAGCCTACGTAAGAGAGTGAACGCGGCTGTGGAGAACCCACCTGAAGCACTGGAGCCGAAGTCCTTGGGCGAACCGGCCAGCTTGGTACTCCTTTCCGTCCATTACCGAAGGGACCGTCTCTGTGTCCTGCACAATGACAGCCATTTCACTGTCACGCTTCCCCAGCATGCTTCTGTCGTTTATGTTGGCGGAGCCTAGAGGAGACACACTGAAACTGAGCAACCTCCTGTGGTGGGCCCTGCTGGCTGCCTCCCCACTCAAATTTTTCCTGGCTAATAAAACCCAAATTTTGTATTTTAGGGCCCTAAATCACAGGGAAATCTCATTCAGTCTAATCAGTCATGGTAATTTCATTATTTCTGCCAGTGACTGGTTACAAATCGGCCCTTGGCGTGGTTCTAGCCAATGCAATATGGAGAGAAGTCTTCCAAGGGCTTCCAACAAGGTCTTTTTCCTTAGTCAGAAAGAACAGAAGAAATGGATGCTGTCTTTTCCAGGCTTTAGGTATTTGACTTGAAAGGCTGGGTGAGGACATGACCCTGGGAACTGCTGCAGCCACTGACAACCACAAGTGGACAGACAGACACACTGAGGATGGAGAGCAGAAAGACTCTGGATCTTTAGGTCACTGGGCTAGCCAAAGCTAGAACTTTCTAACCTTCTGTCCTTTGAAGTAATACATTTTCCTTACTGTTCCACACACTGCTAGTTTTCTACCTCTGTCTCAAAGGATTGCAATTGATACAATCATGAATCACTTCAAGAAAACAGGGCATGCCCATCAGTTCAGCACAGAGGATGGTGTGACTTGCAGAGTTAATCAGAGTCTGGTTAAGGTTGTGGCTCAGCGGTAGAGCGCTCGTCTAGCATGCGTGAGGCACTGGGCTCAATCCTCAGCACCACATAAAAATAAATAAAATGAAGGTATTGGAGAATAGTGAAAAATACATACATTACAACTGAAAAATACATACATTAAAAAAAAGAAAAAAGAATCAGAGTCTGAAGACTTTGACTCAGTCACCTAATGAGGAATGTGAAAGCCCTGGAGCCACCTCCATAATCACCAGAGCCTAATCTCAGAGCCAGGTTGTCACTGGTGGCTTTGGACTTTCCACTCTTGCCTCACTCCTGTGGCATGCTGACATCCTCCCTATCAACTTCCCTCCATTCTATTTTTAAATCCTGAGGAGCTGAGAATGTTGACTTTCAAATGTGAAGGGCAAATCTTTTCATATTCGTTCAACCTGAGCTTTCCACAGTCCTCTGATGTGCATTCAGAAACCCCAGCACGTTTTCTGCATTCATCGCTGCAGATTCACGCTTTGGAATCCTTGATGTGTCCTACCAGCTACACAGGGGCCCCAATTTTTTTTTTCTCTTTGTTCCTCTTGTCCTGGCTGCAGCACTCTATGGATTCTGCAGACATGGAGAAGAAGGGTCGGGCTGAACAGGCGCACTGGCTGCCCCCTTGTGACTGGAACACCAGAGCAGTAAGGTGACAGTTGCCCTGCCTCCAGTCCCACTGGTGGGACTGTGCATCAGAGAAAGCTGCCCTTTCCTCAAGAGGCTTAACCATCACATGCCAGAGTAGCATCACATAATCAATATATAAATCTATATTGACTGTGGATATGAATGGTACGCCATGGGAGCCCTGGGTCAAAGAAATAAGCACCCCATACAAATGGGGGTTCTGTTGGAGTGCCGTAAAGTGGGAACCTTTGAAACATTTTGATGTGTAAGCAACACATTTTGCTTTATGCACACACTTACATTTTCCTTAAGCTGTAAAATCAGCAGGCATATCTTCAGGCTTGACAGTCAGCCAGCATTAATTGGGCAAGTCATTTAATCTTTCTCAGCTTAAATTTGATCTTTCATAAATTGAGATAATATCGACCTTGTAGGGTTGTGGTGGGAATTAAGTAAGACCACGTGAAAGCACCTGCTGATTCATGAGCTGCTCTATGAATGTTAATTATTATTGGCATTATTATCAGATACTTGTTAACCCTAGAATATCAGCACCACAGCACGTTGCTGTGGGAAGGCAGAATTTGCTAGAATGAGCATTGGTATCAAAGAAGCCTCCTCTCTGGCTTATTCACACCCACCCCTGGTGTATGTTACCAAGGACATTAAGAATAAAGTTCTAGTGGTGTTGTTGCTTCAGGATTTCATTATTCCCTGCCCTGGGCAGAGGCCGCTCTTGGGCTGGGGCTGATGGTGAGACATTGCTACTCTGTTCCCTGTCAGGAAAACTGGGATGGGAGCCAGCTTGGAAAATCTCCTCCATACCATGTATGTATCTGTACTTGCACACACATGCACACGCACACACACACACACACAGTAACACCAGTCCCTAACCACCTCCTATCACAGTGGCCCCCACTGTGATAGGGGTAGGAATGCATTCCTGGCATTCTGAGCTGGAATTCTTTGAGACAGGGTTTGGTCTTGTATTTCAAGGGCTGATCTGCAGTGACTCTGAACACTGACTCTCAGCTATATTAGGTAAGTGATAGGGCTACTATTTAACAGTAGTATGAAGAAAAAGATTGAAAAAAAAATTAGATGAACTTAATAAATGTGATATTGATAGATGTAAATGCTACCTCTAGTCTGCAGTAAAATCTTTCTGGATGCTGAAAATCAAATTCAAAACAGAAAAGAGAGTACTCAGGCATGTTCTCATTTCCATAAAACATATGAGGAAAAAGACAGAACAAGGGACCAGAAGGATGTGTAAAGTGGGTCTCTTTTGAGGAAGAGAAAGGGACATTTCAGGGGACTTTTGATCTCTTACTCTACCCATACTCTCAGATTTGAATTGTTCACAACAAATATGCTTTGCATTCCTGTATTACTATTTTTTTTTTTTGAGAAGGGTTTCACTATGTTGCCCAGGTTGGCCTTGAACTTGTGATCTCCTGCCTTAGTTTCCTAAGTTGCTGGGATCACAGGTATACCCAGCTCACATATTACTTTTTATTTAATACAATTTTTTTTAGTTGTAGTTGGACACGATACTTTTGTTTATTTATTTTTATGTGGTGCTGAGGCTCGAACCCAGTGCCTCACACGTGCTAGGCGAGTGCTCTACTGCTGAGCCACAACCCCAGCCCACGTTTTACTTTTTATGATAACTGCAATCCCTTGTTCTTATTAGAATGTTGCCTCAATCATTTAAAACCACTTCACTTTTAGGAAATGATATTTTCTAAGGCTGCTATTAGGAAACTTCAAAAAAAATTGAAAAGACAACAAAATAAAAAGAAATATATGAAAACATATATGTGTGCCTTAAGCAACAATAAGATAAACATCACTGAATTCATCACCAGGCTGAGAACGTTTCGGTATCCCAGAAGCCCTCACGCACCTTCCTGCGCATATCCTTCTCTCTCCAACAGGGAGATGATGTTGAACTTTGTGTTCATCACTCTCTGCATGTTTTCCTAAATGAAAAAATGCTTCACTTTTGACACAGAGGTGTCACATCATAAATTTATATAAATGGAATCATACAGCAAATAATCTTTTGAAATTTACTTTTCATTCAATGTTATATCTTTGAGATTCATCTGTGCATAATGGTGATGCATGTTCTCAAATGAACACATCAGGGATTTATTTATTCATTCTACTATTGATGGATGATTGGGTGTTTCCAGAATTTTGCTGTGATGCACAATTCTGCTCTACATAGTTGCATATTTGCTTCTCAGTATACACATGTGAGAGTTTATCTGGGTTCTGTATGCAGGAGTAGATTGCTAAGCTGCAGAGTAACTTAACTAGGTAATGCCAGAATATTTTCCAAAGTGGTTTCCAATTTGTGCTCTCTAAAGCAGAGGATAGGACCCACTATTACTCCAAAGCCTTGCCAATACTCAAATTGTCCAAATTTATAAGTTTTGCTAGTCTGGTATTTTTAAAAAGTATTTATCTTATTATTATATTGATGAGCATGAACATCATTTCATGTTTATGGGCCTTAGGTATGTTCTTTCCAGTGAAGCTCCAATATAATTCCCCTGCCCATTTTTTTTTTGAATTTTGTCTTTTCTTGATTTAGAGGAGTTCTTTATGTGTAAAAATCTCCTTTCAATTTGTGGTTTATCTTTACATTTTCTCTTAATGAATAAAATTCTGAATTTTGATACAGTTGTATTTACTGCTCTTTTCCTTCATGATTTGTGCTTTTTATTGTGTATTATTTAAGAAATTATTAATCCTTCTGTAGTAGGCAGGATAACAGCCCCCCCCAAAAGTCCATGTCCTAATCCCAGAAACCTGTGAGTGTTATGTCACATGGCAAAGTGGAATCAGGCTCATATAAAGTTCAGGTTTCTAATCAGCTAGCTTTAAAGTAGGGTGATGGGCCTGTATTATTCAGGTGGGCCAATACAATCACAAGTGTCCTTAAAAGTCACGAGGAGTCACAGGAAGATGTGATTACAGAGGAATGGGTTGAGCCTTCCTAGAATCCTTAGAGATAGAAACCTGCTAGTTTTAAAGATGGAGGAAGTGGGCCAGGAGCCAAGGAATGTGGGCAGCCCCTAGAAGCTAGAAAAGGGAAGGAAATGGACTTTTCCCGAGAGGCTCCAGAACGGTGTGCAACAGTCCTGCTGACACCCTGGATTGAGACCCATGTTGGACTTCTAATTCACAGAAGTGTCACATCATAAATTGGTGTGGTTTTAAGCCACTAAGAGCATGGTCATTGGTTAGAGCAGTAATAGAAAACTGCTAAAGTTTGGATCTGGAATCCCCCAAAGGCTTGTGCACTGAAGGCTTGGTGCCCAATACAGCAGTGTTCAGCAGTAAGGCATTTGGGAAGTGATTGGATCATAGGGACTTTGATGTCATCAGTGCATTCCTCTGTTGATGGGTTCATAATTGTATGGACAATTGGAAGGCGGTGGAAACTGTAGGAGAATCAATTGGAGGAAAGTCACTAGAGGCATGCCTTGGAGGATATATCTTATCCCTGGATGCTCGCTCTCTGTCTCCTTCTCTCTGCCTCCTTCCCCATCCTTCTTGGCCACCATGATGAGAGCAGCTTTGTTCTACCACACCCTCCCACCTGACATAACACCTCACTGACAGGCTCAGAAACAATGGAGATAAGTGACCAAGGAATAGAACTGCTGAAACCATGATCCAAAATAAATCTTTCCTGTTTTAAGTTGTTTTCCTTAATTGTTTTGTCATAGTGACAGAAAGCTAACTACTCACTAACACGCCAACTCTACTGTTTTAAAAGAAAACTTTTACTATTGAGCCCAAATGGGCTACCCTCCACCTAATTGTGTTCCCTGTGCCTCCAGATCCAAAGTACTCAGCTCTGACTACTGACATGCACTTAGGAAGCTTTTTCAACATATTGATGCCAAAATAAAAAAATGAAACCTCCAATAACTAGAGTCCCAAACCAGGCCAACAGATGAAAATGACGAGAAGTAGAAACCAGGTATTGGTCTTCTGCTCTATCCCCATGTATATCAATCATCCATGGTTTCTTTTTTGATGCCTTTTAAAGTACTCTGAAGAATGAGTAAACCTACTCCTAAATGATACATATATCTGAAAGTTTCCCAGGTGATTCTAATATAGCTAGGGTTGAGACCATAGGAATAGATATTTTAAAATAAGTATAAACCCTCTTCATTGGGGCAGGCCTTCCACAAAGCCATACTCAAGCCTGTCCTTTGAATGCTGTTGCTCATGATCTCTGCATAGTTTTTGCACCCCCCCACCCCACATTGTTGATTGCCTCTGACCTTCCCGCTACTGTCTAGCAATATCCATCCCAATGTTTGTGGCGTCAATTGGAAAGAATAGCTGCTCTCCTCTCAGCCAGGAGCTGTGTGAAGGCAGAGGCCCTATTTTATTCACGTTTGACATCTCCCCACTGTGCTTGGCAGTGGACTAGTGAATATCAAAACAATTTCACTTAGTCAACAGAACAGACTTAAATTCGACTTGAAGGATAGCCTTGTTTTGTTTAGGAGAGCAAAATAAATGTTTGGTTTAGTGCTAAAAATTATGGTGTGTGAGAAAAATGGATTTGAGCACAAATTGCATGTCCAGAAGGGCCACTCAGGGCAACTGGTAATCAAAGCTATATATAAAAGAGATCTTCAATACGAGAAAACAAATGTTTCATTTAAGGAAAAAAAAAATGAAGATAAACAAATTAGTCAATTGTTTTAGGTCAGCCATTCAATAATTCTGGCATAAGCTTGCCATATTAGAAAAATTGATCACAAGTTCCTTTAACCTCCTTTAAACTTTTAAATGAATGCTTAACATCTATAAAATGTTCTCAACCTAGCTTCAACTGTTTTCTGTGAATTTCATTTTACTCATTCATTTTTGCAGTGCTGGCGATGGAACCCAGAACCTGCACATGCTACAGGGGCTACATTTCCCCAGCCCCTTGTCTGAGAATTTTAAATATTTTTTCTCTTTGTTATGGACTTCAACAGGGGTTATGTGTTAGAGAAGCAATAAACCTACTCGTTCTTAAGATTTCCACTGAGATAAAAGGAACCATTGGACTTTTCTTGGGGAGAAATGTATTATTTTTAAAGCATAATGCTCTTAGGGAAAGGAAGAAAGAAATCCAACTCTCAAGGACTAGCAAGCAGTCCTCTTCACAGGCCCACAGCCACATCCTCAGTTTCACGACAGCAGATAAGAATTCTGTGCAAAATGGATCAATTATTGCCAGCCTAAATAAACTTTAACCCCCAAGAGTTTAGAAATCTTTCTAGAAGGAAAATAAATCAATTAAAAAAAAAACTCAACAAACCAATTTAACCGTTAGCTCTATGACTGAACAATACCTTGCATTTACATTTTACGTAAAGCAGGCTAAAAGTCAAAATGACATCTCAAAGGAAAATATTTACATCTGTCAATTTTTACTTTAGAGTTCTAAAATCTTGCTAAAACGATAACTGAATTTTACTTGGCCTTGTTTGTTTACTTTTCCATTTTAGTAAACATTAGCATTTTCTGCTTCCTACTGTAGTTACCACATTTAACATAAAAATATTCTGATGTTGGCTTTTGAAGAACGAAGGCAGATTAGCTTGGGGGAAATAAAATAAACCTTGTGTACTGGAGGACAAAGGGGAGTGAATAAACCCCTAAAGAGCTCCATTCCTATATAGCAATAGATGAACAAGATTATTTTAAGTGCCCAGTATGCACACAGACAGGCGCGGGGACACACACACACACACACACACACACACACACACACACACGGTGATCTATAAATCTTCTGGTTTTAGAACTATTCTTCCTTTCTTTTCAAATCACTCCAGATAAGACAGCCTCATTACTCCTAGATATGAGATTTTTTTTCTTTTCTCAGTGGAGGATAGAGATGGAAAAGGCGTATTAGCTGCCAAAAAATTTCAAAACACTTCATTGACATTTAGTTTCTTAAAGAATAGGGAATTATCTTATTATAGCTGAGAAATTACATTTTATTTAAAACAGATGAGCAGAATTCCCAATAGTGGGAACTGTCACATCTCCCAGTAACATGCCTTCGACCCCCTCAGCTCATTCATCCTGCTGATTATTAATTCTGTTTCTCATCCTGGCCTTCCAGGGTTCAGGTACCATAATATACAAAGGCAAAACCATTCAATGATGGTCAAATGAAGCTTTCAGTGTATATAAAAGAATGAAGCCAAACATCCACCTCTCTGGCCAAGTAGTAGATCTAATGTGGGTAGAATGGACAACCAGGAACTCTCTCCTGAATCTGTCAGTGTGGACAGGTCTTTAGAGAAACCCACCATGAATTCTTGAAAGGAAAAATCAGTGGTCCTTAGTGTAGAGTTCAACATATCAAGAGCATGCAGTCTTGTCCCCGACCCCGCACATTAACAAAACTGGTCTGCTCTATATCCTGATTGATGACACCCCAAAAACAGGCATTAGGAAAAATAAGAAGCATATAGGCAGTAATATTTTAATACTGTTCTGACTTGGACTTTTATGTAACTTCAGGTCTGTGATACTGATTAGGTGAATATGGTGGAAACACATACAAATTACCATGAGGTATTCTTACAACCACTTTCCCTCCACATTTCTGCCTCTCCAATTCCAGAAATCAAGGGACTTGGATTCAAAATAAAAATAAGGAAATAACAAAGAATTAATGAGATCAGACAGATTATTGACTTTTGGATTAAAACAGTGCTTTTGAATACTGTAAGTTGTACACATCCATTTCATTACTCTGGGTTTCTGAACTTTAAAGACAGACCAAAAGGACATAGAGAAAATGATTGCTTCAGAAGTATTTTAGATGTTACATTACTGTCTTTCAATTGCAAAGGAAGTGTGGGAGTAATAACACTGAGGCATGGGATAAGTCAGCTGGCAGGGAACACAATCACAGACCTCATACTTACCAATAATAACAGTGTTATCATCAGCAATTAACAACTTGCTGTGGACATAGATAAGCTCAGTGACCAGGTTTCCTTCAAGCTCTGCATGTGTTCTAAGACCACAGAATGAAATATAATTTATCCACTGATTACCAACTGGAAATTAAAAAAGAAATTATTAAAATTAATATGACCATGCTCTAAAAAGGCACATTAAATTTTACTGTTTTTCAAAATAAAATATATAATCTAAACATGTTGTTTAGAATGTACTGTATTGTGTGTGTGTGTGCGTGCGTGTGTGTGTGCATGTGTGTGTGTGTGTGTGTGTGTAAATACAACCTCAGAATTCATCCAGGGTCTACTTTCTCTATCTGGGGAGTTTTTATAGTGTTCCTCTGGATGGCTATACGTTTTAAAAAATTATATCAAAGTGTTTTCTGTCTTGCCCTTGCTGAGGCAATCCAAAACTATGTTCAAAGATATATCATTTCATTGTAATGATTTGGTGAGTAATTGCTGAAAAGTGATGGTTAAAGTTGAGGCAGAACCGATAATCCGAGATTCAGTGTGACATTTGCTTCTTTTTTGGTTGACACCTGCTGCAATTCAATCAGAGGCAAGGTATGTGCCCAAACATACATTTGTAGCATGTTCCATCCTAAGCAGCTGTTATATTTTACTGACTTGGAGCAAATAAAAATGTTGGCAATTTAAATACCCTCCCCCTTTTCGATCATTCAACTCAGGAACTGAAAGAATCTTTATTACAAGAAATGTAGGGGGATTTTCTTTAGAGCAAGCAGTACTAGGCTTGTACTTGGAAATTCTGCCCTCTCATCTCATTATGTGAGGGTCATTCATGTAATAAGAAGGAATGCATTCCATATCAAGCCAACCCATAATCACTACCCCAGTATGAATGCTAGTCACAAGTTTTTATGGTCCCTATTCCACATAGCAGTTGTCCGGTACAAGCAAAGTCTTATCAAGTCTGATAATAAGAATAAATGGCCTAGAACCAAATTGTCATGAATTCCAATAGAGTGTATAAGTCTTTTTTCTTTAAAAGACTCTTGAAACATACTAATAGAACCAGTAGTCTTTCATATTTCATTTACTGAAGTTTCCATTTATAACTGAGGTTTTCCATTTTACTATTGATGCTATTCAATGTTTGCATAAAGTTTAGATACCTTAGGAAAAAATCCAGTCACACGATACATACTGAGCTTTCTTCCCTGACAGCTAACTCTTCCCTCATGCACGAGTGATCATACACAGCTGTGTTTGGCAAGAGCTGATGTGGTGGCATCACATGTAGGGGAGGCATTTCCAAAAAGTTCAATGTGAATGAGATCTTTGTAAATCAATTTCTTTCTCTGTGTGTCAGTGTCACATTGGAAAGATGCTTCGTCTGAAGCATCACCTCCTCTCCGCAGTCTCCTCTTTTCTAGGAGGGAAGAGCATTTCCTCTTTGAAGCCTCTCATGCCCATAAAATTCCTGGAAAATGTTTCTACTATAATATGTAGTTTTTAAAAATATTTGTATATTCTTCTATTTCTCTTTTAACAGTATGGGAACTAGTCTGACACATCTTGGTATGCTCATCCGTGCTAAGAAAAGTGGAATAAATGAGTGCAAGGGTCAATAAGTGAAATATTCAAGTGGCAGATAATATTTCAGCTTTGGAGTTTTCTGAATCATCTACAGCTGGCTTTTAACCTAAAATCTAAAATGTTAATGCACAAACCAACTTTTTAATGGAATCATTGAACAAATACTTTGCTAAAATAAGTATTTTTGTAGTGATTCCCCACTTTTAAAAATCACAGTGAACAACACAGGAGGCCAGTAGTTTTTGGTGTGCATAAGAACCACCCTTGTGGGACTTATTAAAAGCAGATTCCTGTGACACTGCCCCAAATTTTGATTCAGCAAAAATCATCAGTAAAACACTATCTTTGAACAACACCACTACTGAGTTTTGGCATTTATAGATTTAAGATTAATAGTGCACATTAAGAAAATAATAGATCATGACCAAGTGTGATATGTTCCAGAGACACAAGTCTGCTCAATGTGAGGAAATGCACTAAAACAAGATATCTTCCTTTGACCAATCTAGGGGGAAGATCACATAATCATCTCAACAGATGCAAAAACCCTTTTGAGACAATCTAGCATCCATTCCTCATAAAAACAGTGAAGTAAAAAAAAAGATGCATACATATCTATATGCTTTTAAATGTATAAAACATATAATAGATGTATGTGTGTTATATATAATCAATACAATTTAATTTTGTCTTGGAAGCATCAGTTAATGTAGCTAGTCAAGAGAAATCATATAAGAAATAAACTAATTACTCATTTGCAGATACGATCATAGTATACCCAGAGAACCAATGATAAAATGATCTTAAACCATGAAATGATTAATTATGGTAACAGGATATAAATTGACATGTAGAAACCAGCAGCTTTCATACATACAAATGATAACCATTTAGAGACTCACAAACAGAACTTCATTTATATAGGTTCCTACAAAGATAAAGTACTTAAAGATAAACTTAACAGGATATGTGCAAAAATTTAGGGAGAAAAATTTTAAAGACTCTCAAGACGGAAGAGTAGACAAATGCAAAGCTACCCCTTGTTCTGGGATAGAACTATTCAACACTGAAAGATGTTGACTTTTCCCGGGTTCATTTATATATTTAAGGTAATCTCAATAAAAATACCAACATTTTTAATGGAGTTAGACAATATGATATCATAGTTCATGAGGAAAAATATATATGCAAGAATAATTTGGAAATTTTAAAAGAAAAGCTATGAGGAGACATTAGCTCTATCAGATATGAAAACATGCTATAAAGTCTGTATAATTCAATAGTGCAGAACTGGTACATAAATAGATAAGCCAGTGGATGAACTAGAAAGTCCAAAAATAGACCAAAGAGTAGGTGGAAATTTTGTGTATGATGAAAGCAGAATCTCAAGAGGCCAGGACAGGACATTCAAGTAAGAGGTGCCAATGCAATGGAACAGCCACTTGAAAAAGGTAAAACTCCAAGAATTCCATTAAGAATAAATTCCAAATGTGCTGATTCATAGTGGGATAGGGAGAGGAAGTATGGGAAGAACAGACAAACTCTACATAGGGCAGAGGGGTTGGAGGGGAAGGGAGGGGGGCATGGGGTTAAAAATGATGGTGAAACGTGATGATCATTATTATTATCCAAAGTACATGTATGAAGACACGAATTGGTGTGAATATACTTTGTACACAACCAGAGATATGAAAAATTGTGCTGTATATGTGTAATAAGAATTGTCATGCATTCTGCTGTCATATATAAATAAACAAAAGAATAAAATTTCAAATGGATCAGAAATGTAAATGTAATCATATGAAATCAGACGAATATTAGAAGAAAACAAGAGTGAATTCCTTTACAACCCAAGTGAAGGGAAGGCTTTTTACTATCCAGTGGCAGTAAAAGATTGATGATTGATAATGTTAACTGGATTACATGCGAATATATTTGCATGACAGAAAACACCACAGGCAAAAATCATGGGCAAAATGCAAACATGAGAGAAAGTATTTGCAAAAAAATTATATATATACATATATATACACACATATACATATATATATAACATATATGTATATGTATATATATATATATATATATATCAGATAAAGTGCTAAGAGTTCTTAAGTTGTAAGTTCTTTATAACATATGAAAGACTTGAATTGAAGGGGAAGAAAACCAAAATCTTGATAGAAAGATGGGCAAGAGATATAAACAAGCAATTCACACAGACAAAAAATACATGTGAAAAGATATTCACCCTTAGTCAAAATAATAGAAATGCAAATTAAAACTACACTGAGAAACCATTTCTTACTTATGAGATTGGCAAAAATGAATGAATGAATGAATAAATGGATGGATAAATGAATGAAGTGGAAGAACATATTCTGTTGGGGAGATTGAGCTGGAACAGGCTCTGTCATATATTGGCGATAGGAACGCTAATTCCTAGAGGGTCACCTGGAGATATCTGACAAAGCTACCTAGTAATTCCACTCTAGAAATTTACCCTAAAGATATACCTACAACAAATAAGAAAACATATGCACAAAGTTATTCATTGTCCAGTCTTGACTACTGAAAGCACACAATTTGTTTGTAATTGAGAAATATAGAAAACATTCTAAATGCCCATATATAGTGGAGATATGGCGTAAACCATGGCAAATCCACACTTGGGAGACTCTGCAAAAGTGAAAAAGAATGAAGATCTCCGTGAATTGACATTAAAGTGACTCCAAAATCATTTTGCCCCTCCCCCCAACTAAAAAGACTGAAGGACCATTTCAGAGTAAGGGAAAATAAGGGTCAAGGGTAACCAAGTGCTACACATGATTGTGAGCAGAATACGCCCCCAGTAAACAAAACCTTTCTTCCTCTTCTGCTTGAAGAAGATTAGTGGGACAGTTGGCAAAATTTTGGTAAGGGCTATAGGCTAGGTCATAGTATTACATCAATGTTAGTTTCATTTATTTCAGTAATTGAACTATAGCTGCTTAGGAAAGTGTCCTTGTTTTCTCAGAAACAGTATTTAGGGGAAAAGGAACATCCTTGCTACAACTTATTCCAAAATGGTGCAGAGTAAAGAAGCAAACAAAATCCTATTAAAATATAGATCTACTGGGAGAAAGCAATAAAGCAAAGGGGTGATAAGCTAACGTTTGGGAAATGAGGATGAAGCATATGAGAGTCCTGAAAACGCTTCTACAAGTCCAAAATTATTTCAAAATTACTTTTTTTATATTAGGTAATACTTATTAGCTGTTATCAACCTGAAGGTCTAAGACATGTCATACTGTGTGGCTTTCTGAAGCACAGGGATGCACCATCCTACAGGAAGCCTACGGAGCATCAGTAAAGTACCAGAGACCACCCTGCCTATAGCCCAGGCCTACCTCCCACTCACCTTCACCTACACAATAACTCTGATGCAATGATAAAACCTTCATTTCTTTGTGAAAAATGACCTTCAAAAGAAAGCTAATGGTACCAGCCACAAGATCTAAAAGAAAGATAATGGTTGCTAGCCAGAAAGTGGACCATTT